ATAGTGAGTAGTTTAAAAGAAAGACTATGGATTTTTTTTTTTTTGTCCTTTCTGAAACTTGTAAGGCTAAGGAAAGAATAGTTGTAAAAAAATGTTTATAAGAACTGCTATGAACAAAGCTGGGCATAATGACTCACACTTTTAATCCTAGCGCTCAGGGAGGCAGAGGCAGGTGGATAACTGAATTTGAGGCTAGCCTAGTCTGCAAAATGAGTGTAGGACAGCCAAGGCTATGTAGAGAAACCCTGTTTCAAAAAAATGAAAAAAAAAAAAAAAAACACCACACACAAAAGAAAACAACAACAAAACAAACAACAACCAAAAAACACCAAAAACTCTTGTATGAACTGTATTGTTTTAGGTTAGAATTTCTGCCTCTTACTATATAGTTGTCTATATACTATTGTTCTTTATAATAGAAAGGCGTTGGGCTATATATTATTTATTATTAGCCCTAAGATTTTCACAGTGATATTATTTAACCCACTATCACAAATAACAAGACACAGACACCTGTTAGATTTATGATTGTCTTATTTACCTCGGGCTGGGCAGATATTTCACTTACACTGTCTCAATAGCCTCACCATCCATCTTGTCAGTCACCATCCAATGCCACCTGCCTTAATCCTCCTCAGTTGGACTACCTTTTACCCATAATTTCACGGTACTTGCTTTTATTCTTTATCTGGGGCTTTCCATGCCATCATTGGAGTCCTTTCTCCAGTCCCACATGGTTCCTTCTCTAGGCTAACACATCCTGACATCCTCCTTCCTCCTCTCTTCCAATCTGTTTGCTTCCTCAAAAATCCCAGGGAACCAGCCTACCCCATTCTGCCCTACCCAGGTATAGGCTGTTTAATCAACCAGTCAGGTATGTCTTAGGCAAGTTTACACTAACAAGGATGGGTGTATCTGGAGGGCAGTAACCAGATCTTCAGGGCCAGTAATTAGCATTAGATCAACCTTCAACAATATACAATATGATTTGAACATCTCTAATTCAAATATCTGAAATTTGAAATGATAATAAATCCAACACACATGCACACATACACTCTCAGTAGTATATGAGTATATGCTTATGTGTATATGAATGCATATGTATGTGTGGATATATATTCACATATGTACACATGCATGTGGAGGCCCAAAATTGACACTGGTTTTCTTTCTTGATCACTCTCTATTGTAGCAGGGTCTAGATGAATTCAGAACTCACTGGTTCCAGTTAGTCTAGCTAACCATTTTGCCCTAGGGAGAGACATCTTGACTCTGCCTCTTGAGTTCTGGAATTACAGGCTGCTGCCATTTCTGTGTACCTTTGATATTCGTTCTGAATGTCTGAACTCTAGTCTTCAGGCTTATGTGGTAAACACTTGATTCACTGAGCCATCTTTCTAGCCCTCAAAACTTTTGAGAATAGTTATCCTAAGTAGAAAATATACACTGGACCTCATGTGATAAGTCACAATCACAGCCCTCAGGTGCAAGGCTGAAGATGTGGCTCACTGGCAGAATGCTTACCTAGCATGTATGAGGCTCTGCACTCAGTCTACAGTGCCCCATTCAAGTGCATGTACACTAAGAATAGTGTGAAAATTGTCTTCAGGCTATGTGTACAATATATATATAAGAAACATAAAAGACTGTTTATATCTTAGTCTGTTCCCAAAGCATCTTATGTATGTAAACTATTTCAAAATCTGAAATCCGAGAGTGCTTTTGTTCCAAATATTTCAAATAAGGGATACTTAACTTATACTAGGAAGTAAACTCATTTCTTCTTCTACTTCTTCTCTTCTTCTAGATTTATTTATTATGTGTACAGTGCTCTGTCTGCATATACACGTGCACTCCAGAAAAGGGCATTAGATCACATTAAATGGTTGTGAGCCACCATGTGTTTACTGGGAATTAAACTCAGTACCAGTGGAAGACCAGTCACTCCTCTTAACCTCTGAACATCTCTCCAGCCCAAACCATTTCTTGAGTTGCTTTCAAAGGCAACTCAGCATTTTGGGAAATGGACTCTGACTAACACCAACTTACTTTAAAGTTCACTGAATCCAAGTTTCTTAAATCAAGATCACTTAGCACTCATGGCAGTGGGGGCTGCAGCAATGGCTCAGCAGTTATGATTGCTTGCTGCTTTTACAGAAGACCTCAGTTCAGATCCCAGTACCTACATCAGGCAGTTCACAAATGCCCATGGCTTCAGGACATAGACACACATATATATGCATAAATCATAAATAGAAATAAAAAATAAATTTTAAAGAACTCCTCATGGCAATTAGCCAGTTAGTGCCTCTTTGTCCTCCTTTCCTCTCTTAACCCAGCCAGGAGCACAGCTCTTCCATGTGCATGTTGGTATCTAGAAGACTGGTTATGTGGGCAATAGAATAATTTTCTGGTAATAGTATAAGCAAAGTAAAGATCTATTGACATCCACAAAAGAGGAAGCAGATGAACTTCTGGAAAGGAGCATGTAGTAGGAGTGAAGAGCTCTCTCACAGTATTTGAAAAGAAGATTGTTAGAATTCATTGGGTAAGATACCTGTCTGTGGCTCATATTTGGATAGTTGGGCAGAGATCTTATTATTTTGCTTAAAAATAAGTGTCATATGTGAGTTGTGTCTTCTTGGGATAGTATTACCTATGCAGTGCTCCTTGGGCTACTAGGGTCAAACTCCCACTGATCTGAGCCTGCTCCTTGATATGCAGAGCTCTTTGCAGTAGTGTCACCACCGTTCTCCCTAAGACAGATTGCAGCGAGGGCTTCTTAAGGTTAACTTGTTTGGGTCTTGCTGGAAGGTGAATAGTGATTAGGTCATCACTATTCAACCCAAAAGGAGCCAAGAGAGTGCATCCAGTAAACCCTTTACAGTTGAGGGGCTAGAATGGCCTAACTACCAACAAGGGCATAGCATATCTTCTCTTAATGTGTCCAGTGTTCTCTTTGCTATATGTTGTACCCAATCTCGTGGGCAGTTTGAAAAGCTATTTATTTTCACCAAAAGCCTAGAAAAATAAAGTTTATGAGGGAAGGTTTGAGAAACAGCTCTTAGTGGTCTAATAACCTGGTGTTTACTTAAAACATTTCCAATATCATAGCTCATCTCCTAGTATGTGTCTAGTATGATGCCACTTAATTTTGTAACACCTCAAGTGTATTGCCTTGTCTGTACTTACTCTGGAGAATCTTTGTGAAATGGCTAGAGATAGAGCATATATGGATCACAGTCATGACATAGAGTGGGTATTCAGTGACAGTTGGCTAATGTTACTACTTTGTGTTGGGCATATCTAGAGTATGGATCATGGTATGTCAGAGAACATTTTAGATTTCAGATTTTGCCTAGTTTTCAGCATGTATTATTGCAACAATTATTGTTCTGGTTTAGCTTCTGTCACTGTGATAAACTCCTCTGATGAATACCTCAGGGAAGAATAAGATTTGGCTTACACTTCCATGTTACAGTCCATCATTGACAGAAGTCAGGGCAGGAACTGAACAGGAACTTGAAAGCAGGAGCTGAAACAGAGACTGTAGAGAAATGTTTACTGGCTCACTTTTCCTCGCTTGCTCAGCTAACATGTTTATATAACCCAAGCCTACCTTTCAGGGCTAGCACCACCCATAGTGGGCTGGGTCCTCCTACATCAATTATTAATTAAGAAGATACCTTATACTAGGGCAGTAGTGATGTATGGCTTTAATCTCAGAATTTGGGAGGTAGAGACAAGCAAATCTTTTTGAGTTCAAGGCCAGCCTGATCTACAGAGTACATTCCAGGACAGCCAGGACTACATAGAGAAATCCTGTCTCAAAAACCTAAAATTAAATTTAAAAGAAGTTACGTTATAGTCATGGCACAGCTAATCTGACGGGGGCAATCCTCAATTGAGGCTCCCTCTCTCCAGGTGACTGGTGTCTAGTTGGTGAAAATGAACCAGTACAGTTATTTTGTGAAATACCTACAGTATTTCTCCTGTCAGAAATATTTTCAGTTGCTCATAAAGCTGATTGTACAGAGGGCCAGGCACAGGGCTAGCTTCTTATACTTAAATATCTGTAGATCACCAAGGACCAGGCAGAAATGTACATCTTAGTCAGTAGGACTTAGGGTAGGCTGAAAATTTTCATCATAACTAGGGCCATGGTGATGGCAGGCCACATTTGAGTTAGAGAGGTTTGAATGGAGTCCTCTGAGACATCTGAGATGGGGGCTTGACTGGAAAGGATAGAAAATCCATGGAATTTTCCATGTCAAGAATAGTTTAGTTTTTGGTAGTGTTTAATAGGGTTTTTAATTACCAAATGGATGGAGGGAAAAACAAACAAAAAAAAATCTTCACTATTCTTGTACCTAGAGAATGAATGAATATGTGCCCACTGGAAAATAGCCCCTGCCAGGAGCTCCTGCCAGGCCACATGGTTTTCCTATGTACTCTCTCCCCTGGCCCTTCTGCCCTGACAGCAGTGAAATCCACTATGAGTCTCCTGAGCAGATGGCACCTTAACAGAGACCAGCTGCCTGTTGATGGCAGGTGCTCACTTTGTACCTCTGGGGTTTTCTTGTATTGTTCCTCTGTCTCATCTTGCTGCTGTAGCATTATTTCTAGGGTATTGTCTTGCACTGCTGGCTTCAGACTTTTTTTCATATGTTCTAGTGATGTGTCCACAGATTGACAGAGGTACTTAGGGTAGCTGGATTGTTCTCAAATATGAAGTCATTTTACATTCAACATATGAATGGTGCTTGCTGGGTGAATTTTTTTTTTTATAGGCATACCTCATCGTGACTAGCAGTGTAGAATTTTTGTAGAATTCTTGAGCTGCCTGTAGTTGTATCTAATAACTTGGATTGTTCACAGAGGGTGGTTTTACTTTCTGCCCTTCTACCTCATGCTTTTTGCCATCATGATATCTGGGCTTTTTCTTCTCAATGCTCAGGAGCTATAGCACTGACTTTCTGTTGTTTCTTTCCTTATAGAGACCTAAAGCCAGAGAATATCCTCCTTGATGATCATGGTAAGTGAAGAGAGCCTTTCATGCTTTTGCGTAGACTTGTCAGAGGGACACATATACTTGAAAGCTAATGTGGACATAACTGGTTAATAATGCAGACTAGAAACAATAACTAAAAGAAACTCTTTGGGATGTTTTTTTTTAAACCCAAATCTTTATTGTATTATTGTATAGAAAGACATATATATATATATATATTTTAAAAATCCCCCCAAAGATGCTCTTCTCTCATTTCCCCATCTTCCTCTTCCACGCCTCTGATATAAAGAATGTCATTACACCTTATTAGAACTTCACGCAGATGTCCAGACAAAGCCCCATCTATGTATTCTTCTGTATTTGCAAGCTGCATGTTCATGTAGCCATCTACAGAGACCAGGTAACCCTTGTATTCCATTCCCCATCACTGGCTTTCCTGTCAGCCCATCGAGAAAAGGCTTAGGATTGAGGGGTAAATTCATTGCAAACACCTGGGAGCACTGCACCCCACTAACCACCGACCCCACCGCTGCCGGCCCCTCGTGACTGGAGCAGCTGCTGCTAGCCCAAGCTGACTAAACACTAAGTGAAAATCTGGGATGTATTGTTTAAAAACAAAACAAAGCAGATGACCTGTATTTGCCACTGTATAGCAGTCACCTGTATTTGCATAAAAGCAGAGATGCCATATGTTAATGATGGATGTTTTGAAATAGGTGAAAATAAACTCAAAGTAAGTATTTTCCCTCTTGGTTTTTTTCTGTTGACCCATATTTGGTTTTTAATTTTATTTCTCTAAACTTTGCATACTGCCCTCTGTTCTGTCCCCTTTTCATATATCACTTGTTAGAATGCTGTTGTGGGGGCTGTGTGGTGGTAGATTGAGGACTGGCCCTGTAGTCATCTTGTCAGCATCATGGATGCCTCTAACCTTGGTATCCTATTACTAGGATGCTGGTTATGTTTACACTAACTAGGTCAGTAATATTGAGAAGGAGTTTCTCTCTAGTATTCTTAGTACATAAAAGGATAAAAGTATCTTCCTGTATAATACAGAACATGAGAAGAGAGCTGGAGTTATTGATACAAAGAATAGGCCCGTGTGGCTGAGTACTGAAGGGTTTCCTCCTGCCACTGTTTTCTGCCCGTTACCTAACTTATGTACTAACTCCATGAAGAGGAAAGGTACTGGAAATTTCATTTTATGGAATGCTTAAGAAGTAACTTGGCTAGGTTGTATCTGTAGCATCCAACTTTAAGCCTGTGATTTGTGCTGCGATTTGCTGCACTGCTATTTAGAGTTGGCATGGAAGTTTCTTTAAAAGAGGGAGAAAGGGAGAAGACACATTATATTGTAGGACATTGAGTAGTGTACTAGGTGTGTTATTAGGGTGAATCTAAGTCCTTTGACAGGTGTCCTTGAAAAAACATTTTCTTTAATTTGTTACTTTCATAGGTATTTAGCAAACATTTTATACCCTCCTATACACAAAACATTTGTATATTGGTTGTTAAAAGGAAATAATAAATATGGTACCTCTGTTTTTAATCTGGTAGTTATCTGCTGTTAAAGGGCTTCTTCAAGTATAAATGTAATTTCTTAATGTTAGTGAAACTCAGTGAGCTTTATAAAATTTCACCACACATGTAAAGGTTTTAGATACTGCTTTTTTAAATACTTTTTTGTGTGTTTTGTATTACTGAGGATGGAATATAGAGCCTTGTATATTCTAGGCAAGTGTTCTATTACTGAGCTATACCCCGAGCCCTCATCAATACTTTTTAGATGGACTTTGCCTCCCAGTTATAATTATTACTAAAATGTTATTTCTCATAATGATCTGTACATTGTGTATGAACATGTACAGGACACATCCGAATTTCAGATCTTGGTCTAGCTCTGGAAGTCCCAGAAGGGGAGATGATTCGAGGAAGAGTAGGTACTGTTGGCTACATGGGTAAGTGAAAGATGACTTTTCTTACACAATATAATCTGATACAGTTGAATAAAAGTTCCCCTCCCCCTGCTCTTCCCAGTTCCTCCTTACCTCTTCTCCAATAGTCCTAGGTGACCACTGTGAAGAGTAGTTCAACCTTGGTAAGGGCTCATGACCCACAGGTTGAGAACCATCTTATTCTATCCTGCTAAGTGTCCCAGTGCTTCAGAACCTAAGGAGAAAATTAGCTTCTAATTTACTTTAATAGTATGAACCTTATTAAACCATAACAATATTGTAGATTAAAACACATTTTAAAGTATTTGTATTACATTTATTTATTATTTTGTATATGTATGTGTACAAATGAGCATGCCAGGGAGCACATGGGGAAATCAGAGGACAACTCAAGTGAGTCAGTTCTCTTCTTTCACAAAACTCAAGTAGTCAGACTTTATGGAAGCACTTTTATCCATTGAGCCATATTGCTAGCCCCTGAAATAGCATTTAATAAAGCTAATTATCACTGTGATACTTTATATACAATACAACAGTCACATTCTTTCGGACTGAAAACAATGAGTAGGTGTAAATTTAATTTGAAAAGAACAAGTTGTTGTTGTTGTTGTTGTTGTTTGTTTTTCCCCCAGGGGGAAGCTGGGCATGGTGGCATATGGGATCTAGGTGTGTGCTACCACACCTTTAATAGACATCTCCCCATACCTCCCATAGACCAGGCTGGCCTCCAATTCAGAGATCCATCTGCCTCTGCCTCCAGAGCGCCAGGGTTAAAGGCTGTGCCACCACATCTTGTTTCTTTCCCCTCCTTTTCTTTTCTTATACAATATAATCTGAATACAGTTGAATACATGTTCCCCTCCCCCTGCTCCTCCCAGTTCCTTCCTGCCTCCTCTTTCATCCACAGGAGATAAGAACAGGGATGGGGGCCATGGAAAGACTGCAAAGATAAGGCTGGGGAATTGGGCCTGGGGGGACAGAGTTAAGAGACATCTTTTTTAAATATATTAATTACAGTTTATTTATTTTGTATCCCAGCTGTAGCCCCCTCCTTTATTCCCTCCCAATCCTACCCTCTTTCCCACAGCTCCTCCCATGCCCCTCTCCAAGTTTACTGATAGGGGAGGTCCTCTTCTCCTTCCATTTGACCCTAGCTTATCAGGAAGAGACATCTTTATAAAGCAGCTAATAATACAGCTACATTTTAACAGAGGAATATGGACCATAAGTAAAAACTACAATTGCAACTATAAACATATGTAGTTTTTCAGTTATAAAAATTAAGGAACTTGTGTGCATGTGCTCCCCCTCTCTGCTTTCTCTGCTTTGGTTTTTTTTCCCCCTTCTCTCCTCTCTCTCTTCTCTTGTACTCTCTCTGCCTTGGTTTCACTCCTGGGGGTTCCTACCATGTTTCTTTCTCTCCCCCCTCTTATCTCCATACAATAAATCTCTTATATAAAAAAATTAATGAAATCTAATTTACAAAATAATTGGGGAAACAGAGGCTAGAAAAATATTCCAATACCTGAGTTATCTGTGTAGCAACATTTGAGCCCATGAGTGCTTAGCCCATGAGTTATAATGACAACTGATATGACTTCCCTAAAGAATAGTTGCTTCCTAACATAAACACCATTACTTTAAAATGTTATGCAATGTTAAAATTTCACCCAGTGTCTTAGTAAATATTGAAGGTCTAGAGCAGTGGTTCTCAACCTTCCTAATGCTACAGTCCTTTAATACATGCTGGGGTGACCCCAACGATAATTATTTCTGTTCCTACTTTATAACTGTAATTTTGCTACTCTTAAGAGTCACAATGTAAAGATTTGTATTTTCTGATGGTTCTAGGTGACCACTGAAAGAGTAGTTCAATCTTGCTAAGGGTCACAACCCACAGGTTGAGAACCACTGATCTATAGGGTCTTTCTTTCCTAAGAAAGAAAGCAGCCCTCTTTCTTTCTTTTTTCTTTCCTTCCTTTGTTCCTTTCTTCTTTTTTATCTTGCTTTGTTTGTTTGTTTGTTTGTTTGTTTGTTTGTTTGTTTGTTAAGACAGAGTTTCTCTGCTTAGCCCTTGCTGTCCTGGAACTCACTCTGTAGACCAGGTTGGCCTCTGCCTCCCTAGTACTGGGATTGAATACATGTGTCACCATCACCAGGCTTCTGCAGCCCTCTTTCTAAAATGAGGAGCAGTACCCATAGAGAGTTTTAAGTTTATGTGGTTGTGTGAGTTCAGAGTCAAGCAAGGCCACAAGTCTCCTTATGCAGCTAGTATCCCATGCATTGTGGACATACAAGCCTTACCCACCTGATCCCTGGGAAATTAATCATGTTCAGAATATTCCAAAAATAAAGGGCACGGTGGGTCTTTTAGATCCTGACATCCCCCGCCTTGTAGGTTTTTCTGGTTTCTTCTGACTTGGGAAGAGATGACTCTTAAGGCACCCATAGGAACATTCCAGTGGAGGGAGTACCCCCAGGAGGCAAGCTTTCTCTCCATACCATTTCACCATATTACACATCCTGCAGCAAGCAAGTTTATCCAGTATAGATACACAGACACAGCCTCAGTTATCCTTTACATACCAAAGAACCCAGCTCTTTGAAGTATATAATTCAGTGGATATTAGTCCTACAAAGTTGTGTATCCATCATTGCTCATTACTGTTACTCTATCTAATTTCCTCACTTCAGATTTAATGAGCTGATAGCAACTACTCCCTACTCATTACTCCCTATTCATTTCTACTCCCAGGTCTATCAACCATGAATTTATGTTCAGTCTCTGAATTTGTATATTCTACATATTTCATATAAATATAATCATATGATCTTTGGCTTTTTATGATGTTTTTATTTTGTGGAGTGGGGGGGGGCTTTGTGTGTATGGGTGGCCTTAGATGTCCTGGAACCAGCTCTGTAGACCACTCTGGCCTTGAATTCACAGATATCTGCCTGCCTCTCCTGGGATTAGAGGCATGTGCCATCACTTCCCGGCTGTGATTATTTTTTTTTTAACTTAGCATATATTTAAGTTCTTATGTCATGTTAACTTAATGTATTACTTGGAATTAATTATAAGAATTTTTAAAACCAAAATTTAATTAAAATTTTTTGTATTTGTTATGTAGCTCCAGAAATCATCAATAATGAAAAGTATACATTTAGTCCTGATTGGTGGGGACTTGGCTGTGTGATATATGAAATGATTGCAGGTCATTCTCCATTCAAAAAATATAAAGAGAAAGTCACCCGGGAGGAACTGGAAAGAAGAGTGAAGAATGAGACTGAGGAGTACTCTAAGACGTTTTCAGAGGATGCCAAGTCTATCTGCAGTATGGTAGGTCAAGTTCCAGAGGCAGGGAAAGAATTAACTCACTTCTGGCTCTTTTGATGGTGTAGAGGGCAGTAGTTAAGTAGGTAGGCATCCTTCAGAAGCAGGACAGCCAACCACTTCCCAGCTTAAAAGCCCTCGTCTAACAGCAAGTCCCAGGTACCAGTGATCTCAACCAGGCCTCTCAGTAACCTACCTTCTTCCTGGTACTCTTGCCTAGAATTTCATTTTAGGCAGACAATAAGAGCTGTTCAAATTTCTCAGCCCAGACTTGAGAAATGACTGGTCAACTAGAACAAAACAGAGGAAAATTTCTGTAGTGATGGTATTGAAAGGAAGAATAGTGCCAAATTACTGTGTTTTCAGAAAACAGCTGCTGAGTCTTGTTCATTGACTCATTTTATAATGAAATTCAATATAAAACTAATTTCTAATATATTTTAAAAAGGGATGATAGTGTCTGCCAATTTCTTTTTCTTTAAATCATGACAGGCACTTGAAGGCATAGTTGGGCCAAGCTGACACAGACCTTACAGATTTGATTATTGTATTAGGGCCTTCACCATCCATGTGTCACAATGTCAGAGAGCAAGTCCTAACCCATAGTCACCGAACAATCCAAAAGCAGTTGGGTGCCATTTGCCCTCAGCTTCTTCCCACCAACTGCTGGTTATCTACACATTAAAATATTTTAGTCACTTGCTTACCTTAAAATGGTACCTATAGGCTTTTATTTTTTCTTTTAATGACTGTCCTTTGAGGCATCTTTAAAAATTTTAATTTCATCAAGGATTCACTGAGCATGATCTATGTTCCAGGCCCTGGGAATACAGCAGTGAGTAAACAGAAGTTCTGGCTCTTACAGTATTCTCATCCTGTTACAGTAGGCACTAATAGTATACAGAACAAACTTGACCAGTGTGCTGGCTGCTGTAGGACAGTGCATATTCTGATGGAACCAAAAACATGGGGCCTGATAAGACACCATAGTTGGTAGGATTTAGGGGTCAAAGAGCTAGAAGAAATGTGAATGTGGGTATGGCTTGGATAGCATTGGTAGAAGAGCAGATGTGAGAAGTATTCAGATTCAAGATGGACCTTGTAGGATTTGCTAATGCAGAGAAAAGGGGTCAAGGCTGAATCCCAACTGATAGTCTGAGCAGCAACACTGAATAGGAGGAAACATGAGCACTTGTGTGGGGAGGTAGACTTGCTGGACCAAAAGCCTTGGATAGAGCAAAGAGAGGCACTAGTCACTAGTGCACAGGGGAAGATGTTCCTTCTCATAGTTTGGAGGCAGTGCAGGTAGCAGATTTGTTGTGGGACTTCCGTGTTCTCATGCCCTCAGCATCATGGGTGCAAGGGTAGAGAGGGAAATGGAGTTATGGGGGGAGATAAAATATGAAGCACCATAGGGAAGATGAACTTGAAGATCTGGGGAGCACACAAGGGTTCTTTATTGGCATCAAGTGTGTACATATGGAGATGCTAGCCATAACCCATTGGTGTTTTGTTCCTGCCCTGCTCTGTGCAGGTACATGGGCCCAGAGACAGCAGAGAGCTGTCTTTGTCCAGCTCTGCAGTTGGCTCAGGCAGGTATGATGAAGCAAGAGGGAGGCAGGCAGGGAAACTGGGTATGTGCAAAGAGGACTTGAGTGCTAGACCTTACAGTCTTAAATTGTTAAACTAAAGTGATACAGGGAAAGGCAAGGAAGGAAAAGACAGTAGGTGATTATATCCCAAGTGTGAGTCATGGGTTGTTGGAATTGAGGCTCCTCCAGACCAGGGTTAAAAAAGAATAGTTGGAGGCATACACAGATAAGAAACTGTTTGGAAAGGAGTTGATGAGGCCATGCTGGTCTTAAGGAACCTAGCTTGTGCCCCAGGGAGAAAGTGGTCTAGCAGTGTAGGAGATAAAGGGGGACGTAGGTGTAAGAAAGGCCAACAAGTGTGCCTATTACTGGAGTATACTGGTAACTTTTTGTGAGTTGACATTGTCTAGGGAATAATTATTTGGGGCTCCATTTTGTTTCCACGTACAAAGTGATGGGTGTTAAAAGTTTGTCACTGAGCTGTGGGAGCCTTCTGGCTTTTCTCCCAGCTAGTCTACTCAGCTTGGAGCTGACAACATTTCAGTGTTTTGATCAAGTGTTTTTACATTTGGCTTTGTAAATATTGACTGAGTACTTGCTGTACCTGGGTCACTGACAGAACTATACTGTGAAATCAGAGCTGGAACCTGCTCTAAAGAATCTCACAGTTTAATCTAAGGCCTGTATCCATAAGAATGTCTTAACAGGCAGAATTTGGGTACTATAAACTCAAGGAAGTCAGAGGTCTGAAGGATGATAATCTTGTTATGCTAGAGGCACTGGGGAAGACAGAGTAGGAGCGAAGGACAGCTATTGTAAGTAGGCTATTGTAAGTAGGCTTCCAGTTGGCCTTGTTTCAGGAACCCATATCTTACCTCTCTAAGCCTCAGCAAGTTTGTCTGTAAGATGCAGGTGAGACAAGATGCTGGGGGGGGGGGGGGCAAATAATGACAGTAAATTGTTGATACACATTTGTTATCTTAGTTTGTTTCCTGTTGCTGTGACAAAACACCTCAATAAAAAGAACTGAAGGGAGAAACGATTTATTTGGCTCATAACTGCAGGTTATACTCCATCATCACAGGGAAGTCAAGGCAGCAGGAACTTGAAGCAGCTAGTCTAATCACATCTGCCTTCAACAGCAAAGACTAATGAATTAATACATGCATACCAGTTCTCATCTGCTCACCTCCATTCAATCCAGGACCCAGGTCATGAAATGGTGCAGCCCACATTAAGGATGGGTCATCCTATCTCAATTAACTCAAATTAAGAAAACCTCTCACAAGAATGCCCACAAGTCCTGCACTTGGGACCCTTTTTCTCCTACTTGGTTGCCTCATTCAGCCTTAATATGAGGGTTTGTGCATATTCTTATTATACTTTGTATGCTATATTTGGTTGATGTCCCAGGGAAGCATGATTCTTCTTCTTTTTTTTTTTTTTTTTTTTTGGATGTAATATATGAAAGTTTTTAAAAAAAGAATGCCCACAAGTAAACCTAATCTGGACAATTCTCTTTGCTAGCTGGGTGTGGTGGTGCATGCCTTTAATCCCAGCACTTGGGATGCAGAGGCAGGCTGATCTCTGAGATTGAGGCCAGCCTGGTCTACAAAGTGAGGCCAGGACAGCCAGGACTACAAGAGAAACGCTGTTTTGAAAGCAAAACAAAACAAAAGCAAGAGACTCCTTTTCCAGGTGATTCTAGATTGTGTTCATTTAACAGCTAAAATCAACAATCATGCTCAACAGCTGGCTCTTAAACAATGAGTTGTTTCCCACTTGAATGGGTTAAAGGAACACATCTTAGAACACAAGGGTAACTTGCCCAAGAGCAGAGAGGAGGTTGTGCAGAGGGACAAGAACTTGACCCAATCTTTTTTGATTGATAGTAATTGTGGAGGAAGGCTTATTTGAATTTATGAGAGTTATAAATATGTAAAGAATACTTTTGGCAGAGCGGTGTTGGCACATGCCTTTAATCCTAGCACTTGGGAGGTAGAGGTAGGCAGAGCTCTGTGAGTTCATGGCCAGCTGGGTCTACAAAGTAACTTCCTGGATAACCAGAACTATATAGTGAGACCCTGGCTCAAACAAACAAAGAATACTTTGGAAAGAGATTGTTGGATGTGTAATGGGACATTGCTATAACTCTAGCACCCTGAAGGTGCAGATATGCATATGAGGATCTCAGGATGAGCCTAGGCTATCAGACCCAAAATCAGTGCCCCAGGAGATAAACACTTGTCACATAAGCCTGATAACCTGAGTTTTATCTCCAGAGTCTATGTCAAAAGCCAGATGTGATGGCACCACACATCCCTGTACTCCTGTGGTTACTGTGTGTGGCAGAGATAGGAGAATCATCTGGAATTTTGTGAGGCCAGCTAGGCTGGAATACACAACCCAGCAGCAGAAATGAGAGACCCTGCCTCAACAAGATGGAAGGCAAGAATGGACTCCTGATCTAGAAAATTGTCCCTTGACCTACCTGCACATATTCACTATGTCATGTGCCCACACTCACACAAATACAGAGATAAAACTAAAGAGGGGAAATTACAGATGATGTTAGGGACAGGAGCGAGATAGATAGGAGTTACATATATATAGTTTCTAGAAGGTGGCTTGCTCAATTTTTAACTCACCTGCCCTGCCCAAGTGCTGGGATTAAAGGGTTCGCTATGAGGCACAGTTCTTCAAGCCTCCATCTCTTGAGTCTTACTCTTTGTGAAACCATAATCTACTTAGTTAAGTCTGAATTTGCACAGTTTTGTTGATAACTTGGAAACTATAATGACTATTTATTTGGATATATATCCTTTCTGCCACTCTTACTTCTTTGGTTATGGTTGTTTTTTGTTTTGTTTGTTTTTCAAGACAGGGTAACCCTGCCTGTCCTGGAATTTTGTATACCAAGCTGGCCTTAAACCTCACAGAGATCTGCCTGCCTCTGCCTCCTGAGTACTAGGATTAAAGACATGGACCACCACTGCCTGGCTACTTCTTTGGTTGGCAAAGAGGAGAGTTTTGAGTTTACATTTGTATCCTAATAGCTTCAGTTGATTGTTTCTCTCTTGTGTAGTTACTCGTCAAGGATCCAAGTAAACGGCTAGGCTGTCAGAGTGATGGAGCTGCTGCTGTAAAGCAGCACCCAGTGTTCAAGGACATTAACTTCAACAGGCTGGAAGCAAATATGTTAGAGCCCCCTTTCTATCCTGATGTAAGTATGCTACCCAGCGTAGCCAGGCCCTAAGAGCATCCTTATAACAGTCTTTATGTCAAAGCACACTTGATAACAGCTAGCAGGTGGTTTCTACTATATGAAGTCTGCTATTTCTGCTGCTTCTGTCTATATCCCACGACTCCCACAGCCTCAGGAAGACCTTTTTAGTAGCTCTCTGACTTCCAGGCCTGAGGTGCCCAGTCTGTCACTGCTGGGTAGCAAAACTCCTGTCCTTTCCCAATTCTCAGTGTCATTTCAGACCTCCTAGGCATGCCCCCCACCTTTTTCCTGAGACAGGGTTTCTCTGTATAACTACCCCAGCTGTCCTGAACTTGCCTTTTGAAGCATGCTGGGCCTCAAACTCACAAAGATCCACTTGCCTCTGCCTCTCAAGTGCTGGGATTAAAGGTGTGTGTCACCACACCCGGCCTTGCCATGCCCTGAGTGTGCCAGTGTTCCTGTTCTGATCTTAGTGCTGGGTTCACCTCCATTCCTATGCTCATTCTTTACACTAAATGCATGCAAGCTGCTTTAGTCTAGAATGTGCAAATGTGCATCCCTCTCTACTTTTCACAAGCTACTGGGACTGGAGCTGTCAGTATGTGTGCTTCCTTATGAGTGTGCTTTTTGGATCAAAAATGTCATGCCTCCAAAAGGTCAGGGCATGGCACTTAATATGTACCAGTGCCTGGTACATAATATAGTACATAATAAGTGTATATAATAAATATAGTACATAATAGGTGAACTACTGATGAAAGGATAATTGAATGAAGATAGCCTGGACTCTACACTTAGCAGTTTGCTATAGACACATTCTAAAAATGGGAAGATAAGGTGAGTTTTCATTGTTGGAAGGAATTAAGATAGATCTATAATTAAGGTTTTCTTAATTTATAAGGCTTCTTTATAACTTATAACTTTATAAAGTTATAACTTTATAACTATATATATTTAGAATATATATATTATATATATATTTAGAACTTGCTTAATATCTATAATATTTGTTATAGTGGTAGCTGCTTTCTTGGAACTAATTTCTGCATGACATGTTCAGGGCATGTCCACTATCTCCTGTGCAGATCTAGGTGTGAAGGCAAAAGGGAAGAAAGGTAGACAAGGGAGTGCTTCTGCATGGAGAGACAAGCAGGAAGACAAAACTGACTGGTGTTCTGGGAAAGTGTTGCCTGACAGTGAGGCATACATGACTTCATATGGCTGTCAGGTCTGGAGATGAGGCTGCTTGGTTGAAAATCAGGGAAGACAGGCCAGGTGGTCTCTCAGGAGGGAGGGGAAACAGCCTTGGACAGGGGCCATCCTAGACATGTCTATGTCCTTGGTTTAAACAGATTACCCCATTTGGAGGCAATTCAACAAACTCTGGACATTCTGCTTGCAGAATTAAGACTTTCCTTATAGAGCTGTATAGGTCTGGACTTTTGATCTAGACTGTCCCAAAAGAGGGCTTGCCAGTCATTCTAGCCTTCACTTTGTGGGATAGATGAGAATAGGAACAGTGCTGACTAAGGACATGCACATTATTACTGTGATTATGATACACATCATTTGGTCAACCTGGCAAACAGTGCAATGGCTCCTCAGTATTGTTGGTGTATTTTGCAGCAATAGATAAAGACTCCTTAGTTAAAGAATTCTATGCTTAGTGTTCTCCTTAGCCCCAGAATGTCAAGCAAAGCTCTGCAGGAATGGAGGCCTGGGCCTTCAGAGCCCTGTATGTTTATCTGACCTCTTGCTCCTGAGGACAGCAGTGCCAAGGTAAGAGGCTTTAGGCCTGTGCCCTGGAGAAATTGCTAGTGAAAAGGTTGCTTCCACTCTTTACCCAAATGCTAAAGAGGTACTTTGTAGGTAGGATGCTTAGTGCCAGAAGTAAGGTAAAATTATGACTAGTGGATCCTCCAGCCAGTAGTCTCCATAGCTGTTCACAGTTCTCTCTGTGTCTCCCAACAGAAGTAACCCATACCACCCTATAGTTTCAGTCTTTGCAAGGTTTTTTTCCCCCTGCAGGAAGAAAGAGACCCTTATGAGGGGTATATGAACATCTTTTGGGAGAAGGCTAGAACAGAGACAGAACAGGATCTGTGACACTAAAAGTTTCATGAGGAAAGTAACACAGGAACTTCTTATCACAGAATATGTTATAAGTTAGAAAATTGGTTTGAAGAGAGGGCCTTGGCAATAAAGAAGGTGGGGAGGAATATGTGTGGGCTTGTTGGGAGCCTAGAGTTGCTTTTGGATCAGGAATGTAATTAAGCAGTAGAGTTCTTGCCCAACATGTGCAGGTCCCATGTCCAGTCCCCAGCAGCTGAAAATTAAAAATAAAGCATCTTTATAAGCTAGATGTAGTAGCTGGGGGTGAGCAAGGCAGCCAGATTGTGAGTTCAATGATAGCCTAGGCTATGTATCCCTCTCTCAAAAAACAAAACCAAAAACATAACCAGACAAGAAAACAAAAGAGTTATTCACGTTGTCTCATAGGCTGATGCCTTTCTTTGTTCTTGGTGCCCAGCCTCAGGCCATTTATTGTAAGGATATCTTGGATATTGGGCAGTTCTCTGTGGTGAAAGGAGTCAGCCTGGACAGCAATGATGAAGCCTTCTATGCCCAATTTGCTACAGGGTGTGTCACCATCCCCTGGCAGAATGAGGTACTACTCTTTCTAGCAGAGTAGGTTTATACTAGTTTTAATGGTGTGTGTGTGTGTGTGTGTGTGTGTGTGTGTGTGTGTGTGTGTGTGTGTGTGTCTGCCTGCCTGCCTGCCTGCCTGCCTGCAAAGTAAATTTATGGAAAAGACTGAACCATGAGGACTAGATTATGGGTAAACCAAGACCTTATCAACAGTTGCTAGAAGCATGATAGCTACTTTGGTCCTAGTTCCAGGAGGTGGGCAAAAGGCAAGCTTGGGATTTGCCTGCCATCCAGGAGTACTGCTCTCTAAGTAGGGCTAGCTGGCAGCTTGGCTCCAGTGGAATTAGCTTTTTGGTAAAGAACAAGGAGTAGAGGCCACTTTTTTTCAAGAAGAGGTCAGAAACCAGGAGTCCAGGAACTTGGAGCCTGCGGAGGTTTGGGAGATATAAGGTGCCCCACACGGAGGTCAGGTATTAGGTGAGAGCTAATAGTGCTGGGTGATCATTGAACCTCTGATGGTGTCTCCAAAGCTGCTCTATCCTGTCTTCTGTGCATACAGATGATTGAGTCTGGATGTTTCAACGATATCAATGAAAATGCAGAGAAGGAAGATTTGTCACCACATAAAAAAGAGAAGCTGTGTCCTGCGTTTCTCAGACAACAGAGAAATTTCTTCTGTAGACTCTTCAGAAGAGGGGTAAAAAAACCTGTTGTAAAAAATGTGAACTGTTGTGGCTGGGGCTGTTGCTTAGGGGAGAACATTAGTATAGTATGAACAAGGGTTTGGGTTTTAAGAAACAGGAGTGTGTGCATATGTATTTACATCCCCTCCCAATGTCTGTATATGTACCAAGAGAAAAACATTTTCTAATGGAAACAGCCCTTTCTTTATTTATTTTTGGTTTTTTTTTTTTTGTTTTTGTTTTTGTTTTTTTTGAGACAGGGTTTTTCTGTGTAGCTCTGGCTGTCCTTGAACTTGCTCTGTAGACCGAGCTGGCCTTGAACCAGAGATCCAGAGATCCACCTGCCCCTACCTCCTGAGTGCTGGGATTAAAGGCGTGTACCATCATTGATGGGCTAGTTTCTTTTCTTTGTGCAAAGTCTCATAAAGGAAATTCCAGCCACGGTGTAGCTCACACTTAGGATAAAGAATTACTGTGAGTTTGAGGCCATCTCACTACATAGTCAGTCTTTGTCAGGAGAGAAGAAAAAAACAAAGAAGAGAAGACAGAGGGCAGAGACAGGCAGATGAACACACACACACCCGCACACACACACACAGAGATTGATTTCATATAGTTTAAGAGCCATATGATTCTATTTAAGGCTTATCTAGAAGAGTCTTCACCATGCTGCTTTGCTCTTGGTGGCAAGACTCTGTTCTGATCCACAAAGCAATGACTTGTTAGCACTGAAGCTGGTTCCTGTTTTGGTGACAAAGCATTTGACCTAGCTCAAAGGTCAGCATCTAATGGAACTTCCACAAACAATGCATGATAGTCCTCTGCGTTCTGATTCCAACTACTGCTCTCTCACTTACACAGGAAAAGCAGATTCCCTTCTAAAATTGGAAATCATTTGAAGAAACTTTCTGTAGTACTGTTAATCTTGCTCTACAGCTAAGGAAGACCCTGGACTCCTGGTCCTCCTGCCTCAGATTCTTAAGTGCTGGGATTAAAAGTGTGTCACAACACACCTGAGAAGATTAGAAAATAATTTCACCAAGTAAAATATCCTATGAGTGGATTGTTTTGCTTTGTACCTATCAATTCTTATTTTCTTATACCTATCATTTCTCGAGGAATTTATTAAAAGATTTATATTTATATTTTAATTTATATATTTTTTTCAAGATAGAAAAAAGATTTCGGTGATAAAAATATCTTACAGTGTCTGTTGTTATGACCACACTTTCTGTCATAACTAGGGGATAGCTATATGAACTGACCAAATCAGTCTATTTCTGCATACAGTTAAGTCCTACTGGGTATCTCTCCTTACTCTGAGCCCATAATGACATACACTGAGGAGTGTGTCACTGATGGAATAACGTTGTACAGTATGGAACACATTCTTACCATGGGACCTGTTGGTGAAGGAGCCAGTGAGCCTCATTTGTCTTGAATTTGATTTAGTGTACAGCAGTAAAAAGGCAGCAAAACTCATCTGCATCTCTGTATATAAATTAAGCATATGCCTTTAAGCGTTATTTTTAGTAGTACAGGAATGGAAGTTAGGATGTTGTGTATACCTGATAAGTAGTCTAACAATGAGCTACATACCTGTATCCCCTTTTATTTTTAAAACATTTTTGAAACAGGGTCTTATTACGTTGCCTGGGTTAGTCTTAACTTTGAGATCCTTATGGTTTGGTTTCCTGAGTAGAATACAATTAGAATTTCATTTCTTGAAGCAAATAAGAAAAATGTATTAAAAGTTTTTGCTTTAGTATCCTCTAGATTTTAGGACATTATATCATTTGTTCCTAGGTATCTTTGACGATTGGTTCAAAGATGCCAAAGTCTAAAAGTACTCAAGTCTCTTATATAAATGGACAGCGTTTATATACAAGGCACACAAACTTCTGATTACTTTATATCACCTTTAGATTACTTACAACACATACTACAATATGCAGATAGTTGTCAAACCATGCTTTTAAATTTATACAACTTACTGTCATGACTTTAAAAGCCTTTTTTTTTTTTTTTTTGTATACTTTTGATTTGGGGTTGGTTGAATCCATGCTTATGGAACTCATGGTTACTCAAACAAAGCAAAACCATATTGGCATTAGAGACATGGCTGAGGGTGGCCATTGTGCTGTGTGTTGCAGGGCTGCCTGAGCATTGTCCCCAGTGAGTCGGGGGAGCCAACACATCGATGACTGTTCACTGTGCAGACCACAGAGCGAGACCCTGGTGTTAAGAAGGAACCTGTCACATACTCAGTGTCTTGTCCTTTCCATGAATTGTAATAAACAGTCTATAACACTGTTTATAATGTGCTTTCATATATTTTTTACATTAATATAAACATTGTCTTTTTACTGAAGCTGAATTAAAGAAGCCTGAGAATACCACTGTGTGCTCTGAAACTCCCAAGTGTGGATGTCTTATGCATTTTAGCAGTTTTCAGAAGCCTTGTCTCTGTATTATCTGTCCCAACACTGTTTAGAACCCTGACAGTTTTCCCTCAGCTTCATTTAGATTTGTATTGTACTGTGAATGCTACTTTTATAAATTGTTAATTCAATTTATAATTCAATTTCTATGATTCTTCCAGAATCATAGATCCTTCCTTCCTTCCTTCCTTCCTTCCTTCCTTCCTTCCTTCCTTCC